AACTGGATTGCATTATTGCCTAGTGAAGTAATTTTAGTTGAAACCTTGAAAGGAGACAGGAAAAATCCCAAACTGCTGTTGCTGAAACAGTAGTATAGGTCACATAGAACTGGATTGGTGATTGGCCTACATGTGTCGTTGGTTGTGTGGGGGTTAAAATTGGTGAGGGTGTAGCACTCCACTTCAATTGTCAGGGTATAGGGGGTACTCCGATGTATGGGCTACATCTGTATATGCCGCCCAATAGGATATGGTTTTTGAGAGTTGCGATCCTTAAACAGGGTATCACTTTTGCTCTTTTTGGAATTGTTCCCGGTGTGTTCCTTTGTAGATAAGGTATCTAAGTTGAATCAGATAAAATTAAGAAATGCAAATGCCTGGTTACATGAGAAACAAATCATCTGATAAAACTGAGCTGTTCCCTAGAGTATAAGGAAACCATTTAAGGAAAAGTTAGTGTTGCAATAATAATTTTTTGGTATTTTTCCCCGCCTTGAATAGGGTGTCATTTTTTGGGTTTAGGCCTAAAAAAAGGGTATCAATTTTTACTTGTCTCATCCTTAAACAGGATCAGAATTTAAGACCCTGGGCTGCAGTCATGTACTCGAAATTTAAGGAGAGTACCCCCCCTCCCCCTGCCTGGGTAGGGAGGGTAGCTGGAGAGAAGGCTGTATCATTCAGGCCCCAGTTGTTCAAAAGGTGGATAGCACTATCCAATGGATAAATCTTCATTCAGTGGGTAGTGCAATGTCTTCCCCAATACTTATCTGCTCAATAGTGGTTTATCCGATGGATAGCACTATCCAACTTTTGAATAACTGGGTCCTGATCTTAATACTAAGAACAAGGCTGTGCTTTAAGAAAAATTGAAGGGAGGTCAGTGCGCTGAGCCTTTAAAATCCACGGTGACCAGCATTTCATTTTTATGAAAAAAGATTCTCTGGTTGTCCAGGAGAAAAAGTTAGATGCCAGAGACTACTGAGCACAGCTAGAGCAAAACCCTGAAAGGATACACTGTATCATGGATGCAATCTTATCTCTATTTTAATTCTAATAATTATAGTGGCTGTTTAGACATAGGTAACATGGGATTTTCGTTTGCCTAAGGCTTATAATATCATTTATTTAAATAAAATGAAAACTGTACTCAAGGACAACATGTTTTGTGCTGAACTGCAAAATTCTCCCTTTTTTTTTCAGCCCAAGCAGAGGCTTTCTTATAAGGTCATTCACTCTCATAATTCAAAAAAAAAATTATCACTCTTGTAACCCAGGCAGTGTGTATTAGGTAATCTGAATCTATCTTGAACAAACCATACATACTGTCCTCTATGACTGGTGTAATTATGATGAAATTGAATTTCGACCCTGCTCACCACAGAGCCTCCAGTAGCCAAGTGGCTAGAGCATCCAATCTTAAACTTGGAGGGTTATTTCAGTGAATCTCACCTGGAGCTCAGAATTTATTTTTCTTTGCTTATTCTGTTGTTCTATTTCTCTTTCTACCAAATTATCCAGCTGGTAGTTAATTTTTAGTAAGTGTCTTACAGAGGGTACACGTTTCCTTATCTTAAAGAAAACTAGTAACAGATGGTACAATAAAAACATGTGTACATGCATGTAACAAGATGAAGAAAAAATAATGTTAAGGATTGTGCTTGACACAAATTAGATATAAACAAAGAATTAATCTTCAATGAAAATTATTAAGTACTTGAGATAAGCCCCCTGCGCATTAGCTCTAGTACAGAGAATCAGAATATCTTTGATGCTTGGGAAATGAACCCACAACTTCTCAATTAGATTTACTATTGCAGGAATTAGCTTCAATGTGAGAAAGGAGAGCTTGTAACTGCCCATACAGAGGTACGTCCCTTATATCACTTGTGTCATCATCAGTTCTAACAGTCAACAACAACTTTGTCTTCTAACTTGTCCAAAGTTAAGGGATCTCTCAAACCACACCAAGATGAGCATGATTCAGTCTAGGAGGCCAGGGAAAAAAGGCAAAAAGCCATATAAAGTTGACCCAAAAATTCTGGTGAAAATCTTGTTCCATTACCAACCCCCACTTCCATCTAATCCTACGACCCAAAAGCTTTCCCAAAACCTTTTCCACTGGAGAATTAACCTTAGTAAATTCTCAGCAAAAAAAAAAAAAATAGTAATAATAATAAAATAAATACAAAATAAATAATAAATAATAAATAATAAATATCTGCTGACTGTTTCTTTGAGCTAAAGAAGCTGATATTTTTCATCTAGAGCAGAATGCCGAGAAGTGTGTAACTTACAAACAGCTTTTTGGTAAGTTTTAGTTCTTAATACCCATGCACACGGTGACTAGAAAGTACCTTTATTAGCTTTAAAAGTGTTTTTCTACAAAATTCCCAGGGGCTATTAAAAGGGTTACGTAAGGTACCACGTTTTCAGAGAAAATTCACTTTTGAGCATAAAATGTAACAAAATCTGGCCATGAAATGACAAATGGAGTTATAATGCACCTATCAATGTAAATCCCGTGAGGGGGGGGGGGGAGTGCGGGCAAGGGGCAGGGATTTGATGCCTGAGACTATCCCCCTGTCGGGCTTTTGATCGTGCGAAGCGACCCCGGGGTCGGGACATTTGACTTTGACCGACAGAAGACAGAAGCCTGGTATCAGTTCAGAAGCGGTTACCAAGTCCGTCCCTCGAGGCTTTCTGAAAGTCACGCTGTTGGAGAAAGGTATGAAGTTTTTGTTTGTTTTAATCACCATAATCCGATACTTTAAACTGTCATCTAAACAGATAATGTTTATTTTGAGAAAGGTTTTATCTTCAAGTTCCCATCTGATAGTAAAACTCGATTGAAATTGAATTCCACCATGAAAGTCAGAGGATTTTCTACGGGTCACTGATCCGACCAGTTCCGACATGCTGAGCAGATGTTATAAAGCATTTTACGTTTCATTAATATTATAATAGCACCTGGAGTGATTTTGTTGTTCAAAATAGGAGATGCTAGTGGAGAGAGAAAATACTTAACTACAGCGAGTAATTTAACGGAGCTTACGTTAACCATAAATAAAAGTAGTAAGAACGTACTTTTGAAATATTCTTTTAATTTGTTTTATATAGTGTTATAGTATTGTTTGTTTAGATTTTTTCCCCTGGGGTGGGGGCTTTTTTGACACTTTTGATCGACCTTTCGTTTCCCACCCTGGGGAATTTGATCCAAAAATTTCAAAATTTGTCAAATCCCCACCCCTTGCCCACACTCCCCCCCCCACGGGGTTTACATTGATAGGTGCATGAGTTCAGCAAAAAAAGTACTTTAGCTTTTTTGACTAACACAGTAAACCACGCAGTTCAGAGAGAGAAAAGAAAGTACTTAATAACATTGGGTCATACAGCACTATAACGCAACCATGGCACAGAAAAACAATTCTGAAATGAAACAGGGCTAATTACTCATTTTTCTTTTGCTCTTGGTAGGGCTTCTGATAGGTCGCGGGAAAAAAACCTCAAATTTTGTGGGATTTTCAGAGACAGATTTGCTGAAAAAGCAGCTGATTTCATGGATGTTTTGTGAAAATTTTTGGGGCTAACTTCGCCAAAAAAACATTTGATAAAAAAAGGCTGATTTTGTGGGAATTTTCTGGGCAAATTTTGCTAGAAATTGATCGAATTTTGCAGCATTTTGTATGTTTTTGTGAATTTCACTGGATTTTGCAGATTTACCTAAATTTCGCTGCTCTGCTACTAGTGAAATATCAGAAGCCAGGTCTTGGACTACCAGAAAATCTTAGTTTTTTTAATAGAAATCCTACGCTGGGCACCCTGGATTCACTGACTCAGAGCACCAGACTCCCTTTAATTTTCCTTAGAGCACAGCCTTGTGAAAATGGAAGTGCTAGTGTCATCTTGTAAAAAATAATTGCCAAATCCAGTATCCCATTCATTCACAAATATTACAATCTAGAATATGCCTCCCTTTCTCTGTTAAAATGCTGAATGCCCCCCCCCCCCCCTCCCTCATGGAATATAAATTAAGGGAGGGGGCTGTACTAGTTTCATGTACATTTGTTCCTCTGATTGGCTTGAACTCATTGAGCCTGTGTACAAATGCTCCCTCCCCTCGAAAAAAAAAAAAAAATTCCAAGTAATGGGTGTCTCCCTCCCTGGTTTTTTTTTTTTTTGATGTGGGGGCACCCTCACACGCGTACCACTCATCCCCCTACTCACTCCTTTGAAAAAAAAAAAACACTTCCAAGTACTGGGTCTCTCCCTCCCTTGTTTTTTTTTTTTTCGGTGAGGGGGCATCTTCACACGGGTAGAACTCATCTGCTTATGAATGTATTTTAAACTATAAACAGAGTCTAGATGTATGCATTATAAAACTGTGAGGGCGTGCGGAAACCTTACCAAAGTGGGCACCACCCACCCCTGCTGATTTACCCCACCCCTACCCTTTGAGGAAGCCTATGACTGGCTGAAGCCGGCCCTGCTAACTACGTACCTAGAATTATACAACTTCGGGGAGACATAAAAAGAAGAACGAACGTATCTGAGTATTGTAGCCTTACTGATAAATCCACAGCAGCACACGCGGCCGCCAGGCCGTTAAAAATTATGTAACATCTGACACCATTTTGTTCTGGACTGACAAACGTCCTATTTTAAGAATATATATTTTTTTACCTGCTGCACTTGAGAACTGAATCGCAGATTGACCAGTAGCTGCCTTGAATTTCTAAGAAGCAAAGCCATCGCGTTAGAAAAAATTGAGAACGGCGCGAAGACGATCGACTCTGCAAAACTCTGGCTGCGAGAAGCTGATCGTGCGCCTTAAAAATTAATGGTCAGCGAAATTTCATAAACTCAAAGCGCCCTGTATGTACACTTCGTACAGTTTCGCAACTTAGCAGGCTTTAATCCAATATGGCGGATTAGCAGCAGATTGTGAGCAACCGATGTATAACCCCGACTTAAAACACTTGTAAGAAGAACTCACTTTTGCAATGGAGTTGAGCAGTGTAGCCACTGAGGGGGTCAGCCTCTGCGGTGATTCGACTCGAGTGGGAGATCGCGCTTTTCGAAATCTGATTCAAGTTACTATGGACATTTTGCTGATGAAAAAGAACGAAGAATCTCTTAAAAGTCAGTAGCTTTATTATTTGTTATTTTTCAATGTCGATACAACGTCTTAAGTTAGTAGCTGATCACGGTTATGTTAACGTTCTTTACTGCGTCTTTAAAATACACCCAGTTTTAAATCTACAATACTCGTTCAATTTCGTTGAAACGCGATGTATATAATAAGACTGAAACTGACGATTATTCAAGTCACACCTTCTCAACCAATTAGTCTAAATTTTCCCGTATGTTATTTTTTTCTTCTTCCCCAATGTTGAGAATTTGCGATTGGCTAGGTAATACGTGAATCAACACTGGGGAGGGAGACTAAGATGATAAGGGTTTCAATAAATGTGACGACTGTTACGTGTACTTTAGGTGGGAAAGTGTTGTCCATCTTTTTACTTGCGCTGCCTTACAGTATGTATCAGTCAAATTCAGTTGCACCCATGCCCCTCCCCCCAGACTAAACCCCAGGCATTGTTTTGTTCTTCTCGGATGGGAAATTCTGGGGGAAGGCCTAGGGACACTTAAATAGTCAAATACATGTACAATGTACCCTGCGGTGGTGACAAAAAGTGGGGGGCGAATGCTCCAACCCCTGTATCACCCCACTCAACACAGTGTACTGTAGCAGCTCTCATCCATTGCACAGTGGAGTAGGGTTACTTGCAGCATTCTAATGTGCAGTAACCAAAAAATATGTGCTAGACTCACATTGCCCACTCTTTATCTCACTATTAAAAAAAAACGTTAGTCCTTGCCAAAAAGCTAAGCTGCTCATCTTTTTCTCTGTTTGTAGTTCAAGTCAGAAACCATGTGCCTGTGAAAAGCCTAGGGGTGCATGGGCCCAGGGTTGGCAAATGCCCAACCCCTGGGCTGGGCTGTCAATCCCCCACGTCTTCAAATATTAAGAATTGATAGGGAAGGGAGGATAGATGACGTCATAATGAATGGTATATGATGCCATTTGTGCAAAAAATACCTTTTGACTCCAATTGTCACAAATTTGCGATGACACTGACAAAACGCACAAAAAAGTTGTAATTTTATTTGAATTATATTTGAGCTGATTGGTCTATTATTATTACAATGGCAGCCAGAGTTTACAAGGAAAAGCTCAATGTTAACATTAAAATAGCTCAAACAATGCAAAATATTTGAAATTTAGCCTGTGAACAGGCTCTCTGTTCACAGGGTATTTGAAATTTCATTGTTGGAAAGTCAAGTCTACTGAAGAAATAGAAAACGTCGGCGATTATCTGGGAGATTTCAGACTCTAATCTGGAGACCAGGAGAAACGGTCCAAAATCTGGAGTCTCCTGGATCATCCAGGAGAGTTAACATCACTGCCTGGGCTACACTACACTTTGGAACTGGCAAAATTAACGCCCTGTGGTTGCCATGGGGGATGGGTGGGTGCAGCTGCCAGGAATTGACTGATGCAAGTCATTATTGACTTCCAGAAACTAACGGATTATTCCATTTTTCTTCTGCATCTCGACTTGCTCCCATGGACAGAGCTGCAAAGATACACCAATGTTATCTTGAGATTACAAATCAATATAATGAAACATGCTTCAACATCACATGGACAAATTTTGTAAGGTCACAGTCTTTAATATTCCTTAAATGTATTTTAGCCTTTGTAATAATGGTTTACAAATTATGACACTTGTCAACAGTAAAACAGGCTTGTGTATGTGTACAGTGTATCAGCTAGAAAAACAATGTCACTTAATTCAGTGGTCATAGCGAACTCGGAAATGGACTATTGCATGACATAGCTTTGCAAAAACAGGCCTAGTACATAAGAGGTCACCACTTTGAATGGTAAAACAGGAGAAAATAGCAGGAACGTAAATTAAAGTGGCACCTGCCCTGGATGCATGAAAGTCATTTTCATTTTGGTTTCATATTTTCCTTCTCATATGCAGAAGAAGGGTTGCATGTAGATCAGAGAAAATTAATGTGTTGCTCTTTTTTAATGTACCGTGGCCCGTAGTGTTTGGTGATCTGTATGGTATTGTTGGAAAAAGTATCATTGCAGCTCTTTTCAGTGGTTTCACATTGGTAGTCATTTTAATTGGTTGAAATGTGATCATGAATGATTGTGTTTGTGTTAATTAGAAAACTTGTTTTGACAGTTGAGCAGTTGTGATGTTTAACCTGTAAATACATGTACTTGCCGTAGGTGATGAGGATATTGCCAGTGTTGATGCTGCAGCATTGAAGCAGGCCTATGCTGGTTTAGTTACCATGATATTAGAGGCTGTGAAGATGGATTGTGATTCACCCAATATAAGGTAGCTACACCAGCTGTATATTGCTTTGTGCAGTCAGACATCAGAGACATATTTTATGACAGTCTTAACATTTTGGCTAGCCAGCATTGATTGTGATTCACCCAGCATAAGGTAGCTACACCATGTGTTACATTGTGGAGTAAAGCATCTGAGAGATATTTTACAACACAGTCTCAACGTTTTGGCTAGCCTGCATGACAGGCATTTGAAACGGAAGAGGAAGGGCTTTATTTTGGTGTGCAAGCCAATGCAGGGAAGAATGGACAAGGGAAACACCTGCAAGGAAGCCATTGTTTTCTCTTTTCTATGTACTAGTTATTAATGCAAAAAATGCAAAACACTGTGAAGGTCTGGCTCTCAAATATATCTGGTCGTATTCTCATATTTTTTTCATGCTGTTTTTACTTAATGTATTTGTTTCAGCCCTAGAACAACATCATATTGATGAAGGCACATTCTCTGTAGACTAAAAAGCCCAAACACGGTTGTCCAATGAAAAAGGAAAATAATATTTGCAGCCATGTGTGCTGATTTTTTCGACTGAGTTTGAGTCCGGCAGTACAAAATCCAAAATGGTGACAACATGAAATTTCTTAAAATAAAATGTTTTGTGTAAGTGTTAATTAGCCTTCCTTCATCTTACAGAATCCACAAAAACTTTTACCTTATGATTGGCTTTAATAACATTATAATATTATACAAAACAACGACTTAGCATTGATTAGTCTTCTGGTAATCTGTACTTAATTTAAGTACAGATTAAGTACACTTAAAGGTGATATTTGTGAACAAGAAAAATGTATTAAGCTGTAACTTCAGGTATTTGTTTCAGGGACAGGAATGCAAGATTAAGCGCTAAGAATGTCTGCCTAGAAGGCAATTAATCTGATAGCCTAATTCCAATGGCTTTATTTAAAACTACAATCTGTTGTTAAGTCTAAATATTTTATGCTTTCATTCTTTGTTTTAGTTCTCTACTAGAAGACTGCAAGTGGGGAAGTGATAGAATAGACTATTTTTCAAAGCATTTTCTGGTATGAACTAAACATGTTCTGTTTGTTTTTCTCAGTTAGTTTTTAACTTTTTGGCTTAATTTACTTTTCCATTTGTCTTAATAATAATAATAATAATTATAATTAATAATGATAATAATAATAATTACTATTATTATTTTGTAGTTTATTTATTTTTCAGAAGTAATAATGTTAGACTGCCAACAAACTTTTCCCTGTTTATACAAAGCAATGCCATAAATTGAATTTAAGAAAGATCTACATGTGGGTTAAATTATCAACAGACAAAAAATAATGGATCAAGAGAGGAAACCATCACCAGTAATATCAATGTACAGTGGAACCTCAATTAATAACAAACCTCTATACAGTGTACAATGAAGTCCTTGGTAGAACAAATGATTTTCTTTACCCCCAGACTAAATAGTAAACTTTATTGAAATAACCTTGATATAATAGAACCCCATTAAAACAAACAAATCTTGCCAGTCCCTTCATTACTATGTATATTATCAAGGTTTCACTGTAATATTATTGGGATAAGGGATCTGACTTTCCAGTTGTTTACAATATTCTCTTCAAAGAATTATGTTGATACTCCACCTAGAGATTAAGATAAAATCTTCAAATATATAAAAACAGATCGCTGTGAGTCGTGAAAATTGTTCCTCTTGGACAAGGCAGATGAACAACATTTTTAGTTGGAGAGAGAAGGGGGAATTTAAAGATAATAAATGTACGATTGTTATGATTTCAAATTCAAAATTAGAGAAATGTATTCTTTTTTTTTTTTTTTATAGGAGTGTAAGCCAGAGTTGGAGGCCCTTCTTGCAAGGTAACCTTGTTATCCTAAGTCGATCCCTGTGCAGTGTTTTAGAGAAAAAAACAATACACGTTTCTATAGACTTTGCACATTATAATTTTAATTCAAATAAACCTGCTCTTTTGTTGATCAGGTACAAACGAGTTACAGTGTTAATTGTTCGCAGTGGCATATTTTTAAATTTCTGCCATGCTGCAAGCATGTGCTTACACACTGATCTTATACACTGTACATGTAAATCCTTCTCATGCTGTATGGTACAACAATAACCGACCTTGGCTTATACAGGTCAGGTATGTGCTGCTGAACAGAAGGTCTTGAGTATTAAACAGGGTGTAGAACTTTAGTGTAGAATTTTAGTAGTAAAATTCTAATTATTTATTTTATTATTTTAATAGTAAATTTAAATTTAAATTTAAATAGTAAATTCCCTTAAAAGCGTCGTCAACAGTGTCTTTTTTTGGCTGGAAGCCTTAAAAGACTGTAAAGTGATCCCAATGGCCCTAAACCTTCGACGACTGCTTTGGTCGTTTTTACTCCATATGGACCGATGCATGATCAGGCATGTTTTCCTTCCTAGACCAAAACAGCTGGAACAAAACAGCTGTACAAGTACTAAGAGTAGTACACAAACCTCGTGTTAATATTTTGCAAACTCGTCCCAATTTTAATTTTTGACAAGGATTAAAATAATCCTCTCAAAGCTGTCATGTATTTTAGTTTCCGTAGTGAAAACAAGCTGTTATGTCAATCAAAAGGTGCAGGAATTTGTCATTTAACCACGGACTCGTCAACTTAACTTACTGTAGTAATTTGGGTGGTACCTGCAGACTTACAAATTGTTGTATAGTGGAACCTCGATATAGCAAACCTCTGTATAACGAATCCGTGATATAGAAGGGAATGTAAGCAGTGACAACAGCAAAGGCATTGGCGACAAGAGAACCCTCAGGGTAAACCCAAACCAATGCGCATGTCTGGCGTGAAAAACATCTGCCGTTGCCTTCGCGTCAGAACGTGAGAATCGGTGTTTTGCTGTTGTGATAACACGTGAGTACTAAACCTCCGTTTTCCTAGAAATTTGGCATAGAACAGCTTCTAGGAAAACTAAAAGTACTTTGAATACTTTTTTGGACTGAAAAATGTAAAGATTTACACTAGTCATATTTAGCTGCGTGAGAGAAAAACACCTGAGATGCGACAGTCCTGAGATGCGTGAATGAAGACTGAAGCGAGGCCAGTTTGTCCGAAAACATGTGAATATTGAAGCTGCCCTGAGAGCTCTTCCTCGGTCAAAAATCATTTTTCGATCTATGGTCTCCTCTGAAGTTTTATGAAGTAAGCATTTATTACTTCATTTTATTTATTTATTTATTTTTTTGTGCATTAAAGCTTATTTTCAATTCTACTCCGTTTGCCTCGTTTGTTCCGCTATCTCTATGATCTTTTATATGTTCTAAACCAACAGCGGCATTCAATTTCATTTTAGATTGATCGTTTCGTTTTTATCCTGATTTACATGTAATAAACTGCGGGTTTGGTAGATTTGAGGGCAGTATCGTTGATAAAACTATAACTTCGATTAAGAATTGGATGTAATTACGTGATCAGTGTGCTAGATCTCCAGTTACATTTTTGTTTGTATATAGGACAAACGCGGTTTTGTATGTTTTTTTATTTCATTATCATGAGTAGATATTTTCGTGTGTTAAATCTGGATTCAGACTTAAGTTTGTTTCTGCAAAAAAAGTTCTTCGCTCATGCAGTGTCCATTGCTCGCTTGAAATGACTTACAGACAAAACTTGTCATAATATTTTGCCGTGTTTATTTTTGTGTAGATCTTCCCGAATAAAAAACTAAAATTTGACGACTTTTTTTTTTTTTTTTTCTGTTCTGAACAATCAGACAAGACCTTGTTCTCTATCATCTGGTAGGTGCCGGTTTGTGTTTTTTAGGGGGAAGGAAGAAATCTTGAGGACGCGCGAGGGAAGAAAAGGAGAGGAGGCGCCTTCCCCTTCGCGTGTTCCCTCGCGCGGCCTTTAAAAAAGTAACCGGCGCCTGCTACGCAGGCTAATCATCTGCTCGAAATGGTTGATTCCTTACCGCCTTCTAAAGAAGAAGCGAAGATGAAAAAAAAAGCTCTTCTCACAAGAAGTATAGAATTTGCCGTTTTCGAGCTGCTTATTAACTGCTCATAATTCGCGATGTCTGTGCGGTAGTGTGAGACCGAACCGCGTTATCTTCCCAGACTCTTTCACGGTATTGCCGTTGCCGTTGCCGTTGCCGTTGCTGTAGCCGTTGTCTGTGCTTAAAGTTTTAATGAACCATCTGCCCCAGTTACAGTAAAATGTATGGAAAATAACCTCGATATAACGAAACCTCCTTTTAGTGAACGCATTTGGCCAGTTCCTTTGCCCTTCGTTAAATCGAAGTTCCACTGTATAAGGTACGTTCTTGCCTTTATGGATAGGAGGGAAAATACTTGATGTGTTACGTTACTTTCACTTATCCAAATCTTTGAGGGGTAAGAGAACCTCTAGGAGTGTAATGGATCACTGGCATTGACAACTCCTTCATCTTTTCTCATGGGTTATGACTTTGGTGAAAGAGGGCGCTTTGTTTGTCCAATTCGTACCCATCCTTGGAGGGCAGGTGTATAGCCAACCCTGTTGAGCAGGCTTCTACCCAATAACGCTGAAAAAACAAAAACTAAACCAAACAAGAAAGTTAAATTAGTAGCACTAGAGAATTGTTATCCTAGGGAAATATACTGAGTGAATACTCAAATTAAATGCGTTTAACTGTAGGACTGGAAGTTCATTTCCTCATATTGTTGATGTGGACTGGAGATTGGATTACTATATAAAGGTACATGTCATTTGTTCTTCAAAACCGAAATTTATGTTTAATTGCTGTTAAATAGGGTTCTTTCTCCCTTTTCTTTCGTCTCTTAAATGCTTTTAAATGAAATAACGTGAGTTAAATGCAGTTTAAAGAAGTGCTAGCAGTCCATGGTCCATTGGTATGTGCGTATCCAATAGTTTGCTACTATCTCATTAATTTTGAGTTAGTGGCGTATGAAGTTTTCTTTGTGCAGGGTATTTCCTGCCACGAAATTTCCTTCAGCCAGGTTTCTCCCCACCTCCCCTCGCCTTTGTTCTTTCTCCAGCAATATTTTTCAGTTCAATGGATGCCTGTTTTGTGCTGTGGAGACTCATGGCAGGGTTTCACTATTATCTCAGCCATGGCGTTGCTATTCAATCTAAGGACCGGCTAGTGCCAAAAGTAGAAGTCCATTTATCGCTGCAGTTGTTAACCCTTCGTAATATTAATGAATAAGAATTATGGAGTTAATTCTTGTCCCCAAACCCTTTGCATTCCTCAACACTTATAATTTATAATGCTGTACGATGAAGTGATTAGTAATTACATGTATTAATGTACGTTTGTTTTGCACATAGAATAACCAGATGGACAAAGTGAATAAACCTACCTATCTTATCACACTTAAGACTGAGGTACGACTTCATTATTCGCTGACTATTCTCCACTTATTAGTGGAATAAAAAGCTGTAAGTAGCCTGCGAGCAAGCTCTCCGGGGCGCTCTGGCGGTAGGGTGGGAGAAGGAAGGAGAGCTTGCAACTACGTCTCTGGAATTTCAATTCCGCCTCTAATTTCCTTGTGGCTTCCCGTCAACTGAGCTGTGAGATTTGCGCAGACCAGGCACTAGCCAGGGGCACCCAACGAGAATATAGTTCAAAACTACTTAAACATAACATTGTTAAACATATTTTAGTATTTAAACGGTAAATATAGGCATGTTTTTATCCCCTAATTTTTTTTTTTTTCATCTGTTCGGATTTCCTAGCTGAAAGTCTAGTGATCCGAAAATTATAGGGATCAAAACTTACCTTTTCGAATATTTAAGCAAGAAATTTTACAACAAATGTTCCGAAAGTTCTAGATCTCAAATCGTCTTCCGAACAGATATTTTCCGAAAATTGACGTTGGGTGCCCCTGACTAGCTATAGTTGTACACAGGAGGAAACCATGTCCCTGTTGGTGTTTTACCTATTGTATTACACTTTCGCTTGTCTTCTTCGTCACTTTCACGGTTTTAACCTGTCTTTGAGTCGTGTGTAGCCATTTCATCTGTCTTGTGCCGCAGTTTCAAGGCCATGTCGCTTGTCGCAATTTCACCTTAACAAGGCATCCTATTTATTTAAGGTAAACGAGGTTTCAAAAACCAGGATAGAAAAATTATTAGCAATACACAAGCTTTCGATTCTATTACGGAATCCTTATCAAGTGATGGAGTTGGACGTTTGCACACGTGATTTCATTGACAAAACGTCCCAGTAGATCTCAGGGAGCTTGTAATCTAGGCATCCTTACTTTGTATCATTATTATTTTTTAAACATCTTTAGCCGAATTTAAATCAGTTTTGATTGATTGAACTTTTTTTAAATCTTGTCCTGTTATGATTCATTATAACGCCATATCAGTTATCTTCTTTGGCGAGGCATCGCACATTATACTTACAGCGTTAATAACGTATTATTCGGCTTACATGTGCTCGAATATTGGGCAGTGGTCCAATTTCCTTGGTTCTAAAAACTTTAAAAGACCTGAAACCATTGAGATACATACATTTTGACAAGTTATTATTCCAGCTTTTAAAGTGACGTTTTCGTTGTTTAGGAATCAGGGAAATCTCAAGGAAAGGACGTGCAATTTTCCTGTTCAATGGAGCAGCTCCAGGTATTATTGAGTTAAATAAGTTTATGTAAGGCTAGGTTGTTCAAGTCAGACTATAAAGTTCACGTAAAGTCCTTGTCAAATTAGGATTAGTCAAATCTGAAAATTCAATCGGAGGAAGGTTTTCGTTTACCATAAAGATGGTCATTCCCTGACCGAAGGAGAAGAGTTTTTCAAAGTCGATAAAAGCTGAAGGGTCTAATAATTTCGCGGCTGAACGGCAACAAAAAACTGGCCTTTTAGTTCTCTGACCGTTTGAACTGGAAATGAAAATAAAATAAAATTTTAGCTCAACACACATGAGGGTCATTTTCGCATTCAACTAATAAACAACAACAGCTAATAAGTGATGCTCATGTTTTTTTTCCCTCAGGATCTTGTTGGCAAACTTAAGGATGCCTGCAAAAGTATAGAGAGAGCGTCTGCTAATTAACTGGCTGCGTCACGGAAAACTGGAATAAAGATTCCAAAGGATATTTTTTTAATGAAGTTTATTAGAACTTTACGTTTGTCTATCGTAGATTTCGGCCAAGTATTTCATGTAGGTATTGCCCAAATGGCTTTTATAATTAACTAGTTCCATTCCTGTGGTTCAACGACATCATTAGAGTCCTTAAAAAAATCTTTATAACGACCATTCTCTACTTACAATTTGTAGCCGTTATTATCGTACGAAAGTTGAACAGCTTGAACGCTTGACACTCATTCCTTTCTAATGACATTTAATACTGAATAATAATGACTCGCGTGGTTGAAAATTTTGCTTAGGAATGCAGTCTACTTTAAATATTTTTTTTAAATTGTCTCAATCTAAAGAATAAATTGATGAATCTTAAATTAAAAGTTATGCGTGCCACATCATCCTCTTTTCTTCTTCATGACAATCCTTTTTTCTTTCTCAATGATCGCTACGGCTGTGATATGTGAAGTTACCTTGTATCAATCTTTTTCTCTGCAGTTTTGAATGTAGCTAATATGATTCTAAATCTTTTTTGGGGGGAGGGGGGGGGGGTTGGGGTGGGGAGGAAGGGGCAACAAAAACCAGGCAAAGCCAAAATGAACAGCCAATAAAGCGGGATTGAGAACTGACAACAGCAATAGCGGTATTGAAGGGTCCAAACCGTACATGTAGTTTATTGCTTCCGTTTTACTGGGTCGGCGTGATGCTTTAGTGTTGCAAAATAAATGCATAAGTATGGAAAGGCCGTGGGAAAATAATGAATTAGTATGGCTGATTTATAACATCTGTCGCCGAAGTGATAGCGTCACGTACTCAGGGTCTACAGAAGTATAAAGCAAAATTTAATTCTTGGGCATTGTCTGTTTTCCTTGTTAATTCCCAAAAGCTACTAATCAGTTTCCGCTGAAACTTGTCGCCAAAAACGGAATCACTGGTGATAACATTTTACAAGTAGGCAGCCAGAAAACCTTTTTGTTTTGTTTTGTTTTTCTGCTCGTTGGCAACTACTGACCCCAGTTTTTCAAAAGCTGGATTGCGCCATCTATCGGATAAATTACTATCTAGCAGGGCCCAGTTGTTCGAAGGTAGATTAGCGCTTAACCCAGGGTGAAGTGAAACGAGGGTTTCTTTTTCTTCTGTTCAAAAGCTTTTTTTTCGGTCAATTTTCTCTGTTATTTTTAAGAGCATCCAAGCATCAACTTGTTGACAAAAAGAATTAAACTGAATTTACTTTTTACGCTTTCATATCTGAATTCAAATTTCGCACTAACCCAGGGTTATCTTAACCCAGCTTTGAACAACCCGGCCCTGATAAGTATTAGGCCTAGCTATAAAAATATTATAGGAAGCAAATTTCACTATCCACTGGATAGATTTATCCGGTGAATAGCGCTATCCTCCTTTTGAAAAACTGGTACCTCTGACCAATGAGCCAGCGAACTCTGGCTTCCCTGGCAAATGAATCAGACTAACATATTCGGAAGATGCGAGCAATATAGCATCGATTCGATGGTACATTTGCTTGGAAACGAGGTTGATCGCGCGATGCCGGGAAACGAGAGGCTGCTTGAGCAACAGTGGACGAGAGTTAATGTGACTGTGACGAGTGTTGTGAGGCCAGCGAGTGTTGTAACACTAACGAGAGTTGTTACTCTAACGAGTGTTGTAAAAAACCGGAAATGGCGTACACGGCAATCCCAAGACGAAATAGCTGAATTTCTGACAAAAACTGAACGGGACAAATTCAAGAATATTTAACAAAACACCACTGTAAGTCTACGAAGAGGTAAGCTTGTTAAGAACTTAGAAATATTTCGAATGAATAATGAAATAATTATATCGAATTCGGCTTTCGTATTGAACGTGAAGAATTATGCTTCAGATCTCGGAGGCTAGTATCCACCTCGGCTAATGAGCACATCCTCCTCGGTCTGAATAATTCTTCATATCATACTCAGCCTCCTTCAATAACTGTTGCCTTTATACCTCGCAGTGGTACTGGATTTATAGCTATGATGTTTGGATTCAACTGAGTCATAGCAAAGTTCCTATAAAAGATACAGCATGTGTAAAGTGAGGTGAGAGATTCAGGCGCGAATGTAGGATAAATACTGACTGATTTCCTAAACGATCGCCAAAGGTGCAAGCTCCTTAACGTGGCCCGGGGGCATGCTCCTTAAAGTCCCCTTTCCTGGGTTTCTGAGTCACTCAGACAGAATATTGTGGAAAGTCTATTTATTATTAAAAATATATTAATTATGAAAATTTTAACCGATTTCCGTAAAACGGTGGAAACCGGTGTGGATTCGCGCCTGAGATTTTTACAATTTTCTCACAACCACTTTTAATGAGCTCGATCTATATAATAACTGACTGACTGAATGAGGTTTTTTTTTTAAATTTTGTGGGGAGTTTAATATTCAAAGCGCAGTGAAACCCCCTCCCAGGCACCGCTCGGCTCGCTTCGCTTGCCAATATTTTTCCTATTTTTCATAACTGATGTGGCTTTTAAAATGAATTCTTCATGACAAATACTTTTTAATGAAGATGGCCTTACAAATTTTGGCCTTTAAAACTGTATAGCAGATGTCTTTACAATCTGTCTTTATCTAGACTCGTTCATGAAGGGTCTCTCGACTTCGTGGACGGACAGTGTGAATAGATCAGCCGGCGAGGGTTCATGGCAAGATGTTGTGGCATTGCTGAATGATCCGTCCTTTCTTTTAGGGAATTCATTCCCTCTTCCGGGACAATAGGGACTTTAAGATCCAACGACGTCATGACGGCAACGAAAAGGTCGCTTAAAAAGTGGAGTTTGCGTTCTGTCCATCTTTGTGAATCGCAATTATTCCTACCCACTTACTTTGTCAAATGTAGGCGAACCCTCTTGAAGTTGAATTCGAAAGGACCATATCCAAGTTCAGAAAGAGAAATAAAATTTCGTCGTTGCTTGTTCACGTACTCCACGAAACGCGCGATCGGGCATTTTTACGTCGTAGTCGTGCTAAAACGGCATGAAAGAAATGTACAAAAAGTACGTGCAAAGTTGTTGTTTTGTTTATTAAACCTATTGAATATTTTGACGTTCTAGTAGCCGTCGCGTTGTTGGATCTTTAACTGGCCATCCACGTTAAAATATTTTGTATCTCAGGGAATTACAATTGTCGTTCTTCATCAGAACGCCAGTCCGTAACCGTATGACGAATTCTGACTGAATTTATTTTAAAAGGATGTAATTATCAAAAACTGGAATTAGTCAAAACTGTCTGTTACATTTTTCGGCTGCTGTCTCTAGTAAGCTGCCACGATCATCTGAACTCTATTGAGTGCCAATCAGGTGACCTGTTCAATTATTTTGAAGTTTCAGATACTTTGAAGAGAGTCCCCCGTCGAACAGGAATGTAAATTGAATTTTTCCTTTTTTTTAACTTGAGTATTGTTTGGTATATTATGATAGCATAATAAAAGATGCAGTTTATAAATGGTTAATGTGGAAAATGAAATGGTCTGTTGGTTAATGTCGCGCAAACAGTCACGGAAGCTTGCGAGTGACCGATGAAAATATCGATCGCTTACTTGATCGAGTAACAGTGATCAACGGCGTAGAGGGCTTCAAAACATTTTACAAATAAATGTTGCAATCCAGCCTTTGGAAATCGAAGGCAGTGGCGAATGGTAAAAATATGTTGGTTATTTACTGAGGTTAACCTCATTCCAAAACACGAAGTTTTTCAGTTTTTGTCAAAGAAGGTTCGACGCTAAATGCTTCCAAGACGGCGGTAACGTAAAGATCTGATTTTCTTGTCGTTTAGTCCTCTAGAGACCATGATATCATCTCATCGTTTTTCCCGGCTTTGAGTAACCCCACGATGGCTTTATTCACTTTACACTGAGTTTTCTGGATTTGCATTCAGACATTTTTCGCTTGTAACAGTGTTGTAACAGCAGAACTCAGAGTAAAACGATCGAGTCAACTGATCTGAAGTGAATATTCTGGCCGAAGCAACTGCTTTTCATCACTGAGCCGTAATAATTATTGATATCTCGATCTTTATGTCTTTCGTGCGAGTTTTTGGATTCATCGCCGGTCTGGTGAGGAACTAACCCGGTAACTGATATAGCTGACCTAGACCATATTTTTCATACAATGAAGCTCGACCATTGCATTACAAGAAGGGAAGGCCATAGAAACTGCGCCTGTGGAGCCGGTAACTCTCCTCGAGAGGAATTTTCAGTGCCGACTGGCGTTGGATTCAAAGTCTAGTTTCCAGTTATTACAGACGCATTTGAAGATATATTCATTCCGTTTGACTCGAATAAGACATTGGGCCGGGCCTAAAAGGAATAAAGTTCATACTCAGTTGAGGTTTAAATGGACTAACGTTCCACTCTTTTTGATCCAATGCAACAGTGAGATTACAAATTAGTATTCTCAGTCATCTTTTCTCCTACTTTGAACTTAACAAAGAGACCAGGGGCCCGTTTCTCCAAAGTCCCGATAATTAACGGGCCCGGTAAGCTGTTGCCGTTTACATTAAAGATCGAGGTTTCAATACCCTGTAAGCGGTGATTTCTCCAGGCCGGACGGAGAGAAACGGTCCGGCCTTGAGAAACCACTACTCGCAGGGTAAGGTTTCAATAGTTTTGCATCTAACATGATAAAACTGTCAGTTAATGAAACGAAATGGAGTAGTCCGCTAGCTTGGACCCGCGCTCTTATTCTTTATATTTCGCGTTTGAATATTTGATTTCGGGCCCGAAAAATTACCGGGACTTTCGAGAAACGGGCCCCAGGTATAATCAATTTTGAACATTTTTCGACAAAGGAGTTAACCTCAGTTGAAAACTAACTAGCCCAAAAGCTGCAACTATCGATTCTCCATCCTGGCCATCGTAACTGAGCCAAAGGCATACACTTAAGTCAATGCAGATCAGTTTTACAACAAGATCCATTTTTACAGGTTTTTCTGTGA